GGAAAGGGGAAAGGGGAAAGGGAGGGAGGATAAAGTTTTATATTTAAGGGAGGGAAAATTAACGTAAGGTGTTTATGGGGTAAATGGTAATAGTAATTTGTGAAGGTGAATGAAAAGCCAGGTGATGAGCAATAAGGAGTTTTTAGGATATAACAAGAGGGAGTTAGTTTAGAGAAGAAGAAGGTTATTATGAATATGACGACATGAAATAGACGTGAGAGAGGGAGGTGGACGAAGGAGAGGGAGAGGAGCTTAGGATGCGGAATGAAGGTAAGGGAAATGAGATAACCCAAGACGCAACAAAAGATCGACGAGGAAATATTATTTTCTGATTCATCGGACAAATTATTCATGAAATAAATATATATTAAATACGTACCCGAGAGCGCCCTGATGTCGTTCAAATCCACCCTACTTACCCACTACCTCCCTATTCACCCTTTGATTCACCCTTAGACTTACTATGCCCCTGATCGTCCACCCCTACTCTACCTATGATTCATATATACCAAGTGGAACATTACGTTCATTTTTGCCACGTGACCTACCGAGAGCAGACCAACCACTCCTCCAATGAGATCCTGTACAACTTCCATGTAAGGCTTGTGAACCTGTCCAGCAAGTGGGCGGCTGTAATGCACCTCATATATTATGAACTGATATGAGCACCACAATACAACTCGTACGTCTTAATTAATAGGCATTAAGTCGCAGTGTGGCGGTATTGAACGAGCAATTAATTGGCAATGGGTCCCTCGACAACTGTCATTTCCCTTCTCGGATGGTCATAACACATAAGGCCTCTATACAGTCATTTGGTCAATTGCATGCCTCATTACCGATATGACTTAATCATTCCCTAATAGTTCCTGCCCCTTCCCCCCTCCTTCAATCACAATCTTTCACTATTATATATAATTATTCATATTCATATAAGCCCTCCTTACTAGAGTCCACTGTGGTTCCAAGTATTTTTTCCACGTTGTAATTTCTCCCAAATCGTTTTATCAAAGCATCTTTCCTCAGCTGTTGAGGATTTTCTCATAATATCGCTTTACAATATGATTGGTACGTTATAGGTTCGGCGGCTAGTAACCTTGTGACGGACTGCCGTGAGAAATGTTTGTAGGTGTCTATGTGGCTATATGTCGGATAGATTATTCTTCCTTAGTGGGGTTGATGGTGGGTGGGGATGGGGGTTATGGAGTGGTGGTAATGTTGAGTATGGAATATGTGGTGGTTTTGGCGTTATAGGGGTATAGTAGTTAATAGTTAGGTATGTAAGGAGGGGAGGTATATGGTTCAATGACATGTCAATGAGTGGATGTTGTTGAGCTCATTATGAGTGGGTGGTACGTGTTGATGCAGTATATGCAGTAAGTAAGTGATTATTTTTTCCAGGGTGTGTTTTTTCTGTATTATCTGTCTTCTTGCTTTCACCGCGGCCCCACCCTAATTCTTCTCTCTTATTATCTTCTCCTCTCTTTCTCTTTTTTCATCCAGCATTATTTGATCTCTATATTTCGAGTATTAAAGTTATTTCATCTATGATCTTTTCTTCTTCTCTTTCTCTTTCTCTCACAATATCTTCTACTTCACTTATCTTACAATTCATGTACCTAGGTATTAATCTACTATAGTATATAATATTCACAATTTTATATATTAACCCATTATCATTATATCTATACTAGTATATATCTATTTCTATTCATTTCAGATCATATATTAGGTACTATCCCTGGCATTCTCATGATTCTCATCTATCTCTCAGTTGAGAGTTCCTGGTTATATTGTAATATATAATCTCTCCTCATTACTCTCTTACTCTCTCAGGTAGGTTCTTCTCTCTTAAAGTCATCTATCTATTAATTTCTCTCTTCTCATCTTTCTTCTCTCTGTTTCTCTTTTTTCCTCTTCCTTTCTGCTCTATTCTTACTTTATCTAGTTATCTTCCTCTTATGTCATCTTCTACTATTTATTCTCTCATTTACTCATATTATCTAATAGTTATTAATACTTCTTCTCTTTCTCTCTTCTCTTCTCCATTTACTCTCTTATTCTAGTTCTTCCAATTTATTACTTATCTTATATTTTCTTATACTCTTTATTCTACTTACCCTCTTTTTCACTCTTCTTCTCTCCTTATTACTTTTCTATCTTACTTTATATCATATTATCTTATTTACATTTGTTATTGTATATATATTAAATTTATTTCTAATTTCTATATTTTCTTACTCTTCTCTAATTATCTTATTCTATTTACTATCTCATAGTTATTTATACTCTTTATATCACATATATTGACCCATCATATATATTCTATCTATTTCATTTATATTTATAATCCTATCTCTCTTTCTTCTCTCTCTCTCTCTCGTTATTTTAATCTCTGTTCATTTATCTAATATTAATATAATATTAATTACTATTAATATATCTCTTATTTCCAAATAGAATTAATTATACTATAATTAAATTATATATTTTACTCTATTTCTTCAAGTTTATAATATTATCTGTATATTTTGCTATATGTTATATATATATTAATTATAATATATGTCATATCTATATATCATATATATACTACGTATCGTTAAATATATTCATCTTTTTTAATATTTATCTATTATATATTATATATGTTAAATATATTTATATATGTTATATATAATCTTATGGTAATTATTATATATTATTATATACTTTTATATTTCTATAATACTCTCTGCTACATAATTCATATGATATTTATATTATATTATCAATTATTATAAGTTTATATTTGAATAATATATTATATATTTAATATAAATTTATAATATTTTTCATATTATATTAAGTATTTCGTTTTTCTATTGTTATTTATAATTTCTTATAGTTTTTATATTATCGTTTAATTATATTTATCATTTAATATTATATATATACTTATATATAATATATATATATATGGATAAATATATACTATGCCATATTAATTAATATTTTATTAATTATTATATATATTTATTATAATATCTTTATCATTTTCTTATATATGGGTGAATTGAGTGGCTTGCTATTATAATTATTTGGGTTGTATCTTGCTATGCGTGGATTATTGGTTAAGTTGCGCGCTTTATTATGGAGTGAGTAAGTGACTATTTTTGAATAATTTTTACTTATATTTATGTTTATCTCTATATTTATTTTATCTATTTATATATCGATACATATATAAACTTCTCATGAATAATTATTATCTTATTATATATAATATATCTCTATATATTTATTATTTATGCTATTATCATTTATTATATATATATATATGATATATTATAGCTATGTAATGAATATATATATTTAATTATCATATTATTCATTATATATATGTATATTACATTTATATATATATATATATATATATTACTATTATATACCATTATACTACCATAATTAGTATTCATATATAATATATACTTTATTTTTAATATTCTTCTTCTTTTCTTTCTCTTGAATATTTATATATTGTTACTTTCTTCCTATATATATTACTTGATATATTTTTAATCTTATCATTACATATTACCTATATTTAATATTATTTCTAAACTATATATTTATATTTTATATATTCTTGCATTCTTAGTATTACTATTTGGACTATATTTTCTATATTATATTACATTATTACTAGTATTACATCTATATATATCTATATTATCTATTTCATAACTTGTCTAGTACTATAAATCATTAACGTATATATTATCATACTATATATAATATTAATATATTATCTATATATTATATTCCTCTCCTGTCCTCTTCTCTCCTTCGTTTGTTTTCGTCGTTGCTCCTCGGTTCTTTCTGTTTCTTCGTCTGACTCTCTTCTTTTTCGTCTCCTCTTCGTCTCTGGGTGGGGGGGGGGGCGGGGGTGGGCGTCGGGGGGGGGTTGCGTCGTCTTTTCGCATCTCGGGTGCCGTCTGTCTGGTGGGTGGGGGGGGGATTGGGCTGGGGGGGGGCTCGGGGGGTGGTGGTCTCCTCTGGGGCTTGGTGGTGCGTTCGTCGCGGGGGTCTGTGACTCGGGTCTCTCTCAGTCGTGCGGGCGGTCTTCCGCGTCGGTGGCTTAGGGCTTCTCGGGGGAGTCGGGGTTGGTTGGTGAGGCGATCGGTGTTCTCTTGGGTCGTCTCTCCGTAGCTGCGTGGCCTGCAGGGGGGGGCTGTGCTTGTCCGGGTCTCGGTTCGCAGTTGTGCTCGGTCGCTTGGGGCGGGGCCCCTCCTCTCGGGTTCGTCTTCGGTCTCGCTCTGGCGCTCGTCGGGTCTCGGGGGGGCGTATCCATCGTTCTGTCTTTTTTTTCTCCGTCGTGGTTGCGCTCTCTCGTTATTCTTTTTCTTTCTTCTCTCTCTCTCTTTCCTCTCTTTCTTTTCACATCACTACACATTTTTTTTCACTACACAGTTCACATCATTTGGTGTTCACAGGCGGAGCACACACACACACACGAGAGCACACACACACACACCACACACACACACACACGAGCACAAGCTCCGCGCATTTGCATGTGTTTATTAGAAGCGTTGCAGCAGAAGGACGATGGTCGGGTGTCGTAAGGACAGGAGCCGCGCATGCATTATGCCGGGCTTCCGTTCGCGCGCCCGAGTGTTTTGATTCGGGATGAATTCGTGCATTAGATCCGCTCGGTGGGGTTTGATTGCGCGTGTGCGAGGAAGGGGCGAGGAAGGAGGAGGGTGAGGAGGAGGAGGGAGATTGTCCCCGAGTTTCCTCCTCCCAGGTAGGCTCAGAAACGGCTCAGGAAGCGCGGGCGAGATCGTGTGTTTTGACACCTGAGGAGGAGGAGAAGGAGTGAGCGGAGCGTGAGGGTCTCATATTCCCGCGGTCTTCCGTGCAGCAGCCTTGACTCCCGCCAGCTGGTCTCGGCGGCCGTGCGGGCGGCGGCGGCGGGCGGCGGCGGGCCGGAGGGAGAGGGAGAGGGAGGGCGCATGGCTCCGCCTCCCCGTGCCCGCCCAGTCTTGCTCCGGCACTTGTAGAGGTCGGACCCTTACCGCCCTCGTCCCGCGCCGCCGCGTCACTCGTTTGCCTGCCGAGGTACCTGCCGAGGATTGTAGGATGGTGCCCGCGTGCGCAGTGAGCGCTAGTGTGCGGAGAGTGTAGTGTGACTGAGTGGGCGCGTGCCGAGTGTGCGTTTTGGCCGCCTGAAGGAGCCTGCACTCTGACCTGAAAAGCCATTTTCGCAGATTGTGTAACAAGTGCCTTGTTTTTTGTTTTTGAGAAATGAAATCGGGAGAAAAAACGAAGAGATTTCTAGTGCATGTGTGCGCCCGAGGATAAGGTCGCGTGTGCTGCAGCATGCGCGATCCGGAGGAGCGAAAGCAGGTGCCGACGTTGCGAGGTGCCCAAGGGAGTGCCAGAGGCCCGTCAGACCAAGCATCAGAGTCTCGTTGTGTCAGCCAAGACCCTTTGCTCGTTCTCGTGCGCCGGAGAGAGCGAGCGAGCGGCACGCACGTGCGTTTGCGTCGATCCGGGAACGCAACATGGATATAGGCTGCGAGTTCCTTGCATAATGAGTGCGTCGGTAGGGGTATGGGAGGGGCAGGGGGTGGGGGTATGATGCAGATGGGGAGGGCGCATTGTGACACGGGGCGAGCGGGCATGTCACTCCTGGGGGAGTGCTGGAAAAAGCGAGCGGGAGTGTTATGTGTTGCTGCTGCAAGGCCAGCCAGCCCGGCGGGCTCCTCTTGCGCGCTATTTGTGTGTATGTGTGTTGAATGTGTGTTGTAGGTGTTGTGTGTGTGTGTGTGTGTGTGTGTGTGTGTGATGTGTGTGTGTGTGTGTGTGTGTGTGTGTGTGTGTCTGCGAGAGAAGTTTACAAGTCATGGTTTAGGTCTCTTCACAATAATATTGTTACTTAGGTTGTGAAGCGAATAGGAAGATATTTTCACCATTACAGGTAATTTGTCGAGATAACTAGATGTTTTCCTTGTTTCCACCTAGTTAACACATCAAAATTAAAAGATTTAAAACTATTCATCACGTATATTGCATTGCTTCTACTACCCCCCTCTCAATTATACCCAACACTGCGCAGTAGGAACTCAGATATTTTCTACCTAGTGGTCTATGCATTATTCATATAATACCTTCTCCGCCCTCCCTCCAATTCTCGGCTCTCACCTTGTATTTATAACGATTAAACTAACCCCTCACTCATACTCACTCCTTTCTTCTCCTTCACCTTCATCCACCACCCTTCATGTCAATTATTCCGCTCCATCCCCTCTTATAGGGTCCGCGACTCATCCATTATATATACCCTACCACCAACCGCACAAGGATCAAATCCCAATTCAATGATAACATATCTACATAGTGTCACTCATTATCTCACAACCAACTTACTACTAGGAGGGCCGCTAGTAACTTTAAGATTATATCTCATCGAGGCAGTATCCCATCACGAACCCTCACCGAGCGATATTAAATAATGTTATATACTTATTATTGCTTTCACATCGCGACACAGAACATGCTAAAAGAACGTTTAACCTATTTAACGCATTACGTCAAAGTTTAATCCGGCCCCCCCTACCCCTCTCTAATCTCTCTTCATTCTTCATCTATCCTATCTCTATCTATCTCTTCATCTTTCTCAATCTATATTAAATTCAATCTCACTTGTCTCTTGCTATATCTCTATTATCATATCTCATCTCTATTTATCTCATCATTCATTTTTAAAATCATTCTCTCTCATTCATCTCTCATCGTTCTCCTTTATATTATCGCTTACTCCCTTCTCAATATCAGCTCTCATTTTCTCCACAATCCCATAACTCTTACTAGTACCTGGGTCTTTCTTTCCCTCATACCTTACTTTCAAATCGCGTCCTGTTACTGGTCTGGCTCTACCATTATTGGCCAACCTCCCTACTCCTCCCTATTGTTAATGATTTACTATCCGATCTATAATCTATCTCTAACCCCATTTCGCCTGCATCGTGATAAGCCCCCTGTACTATATCAGCTACCTACCTTTATTGTGTCCTTATGGGGTATCCAGGTTGATGGTATATAAGATCATAGCCGGGATAGAGATACTATTATATATATTATTCTATATCTTTATTAATGTTATTAACTACATAGTATAATATATCCCTATATCGTATGTATTCATATATGATTTATGTGATCTTTTAGTTTACCTTGTTAGGATTATGGTTATTTATAGTTTTAGTTGTTGTTTTTTAGCCAGATTTTTCTTCAAAATATTACGTTTTTGGTATATCTTAATTGTTCACGGCCCATTTTAATTAAGGTATTATATATATATGCTCATTTATATTGGAAAGTAGGTTTTGAATGTTTGTACACTTATAATAATCTCCTTATATCCTTTCTATATATCTATATATATTATATACATTACATGTGGTAGTTTAATATCTTATTTCTCTTGATTTAATTATAAACAATGTTTTAAATATTATGTATTACTATGATTAGGTATTATGAATATACTTTACATCGGTTACGCTTAGTATTTAAACTCTTACTCTATCTACTATATTACTATTATAATTACATCCACATACCTCATCCGATCTCTCTCTCTCGTCTCTCACGATCTTCATCTTCTCATCTTCATCTCTATCTCAATATTCATCAGTATCTGCAATCTCTTCATCTTCTTCTCTCTCTTACTTATCACTCACTCACTCTGACTTCACACTATCACTTTATCTACATTACTCATTCACTCTCAAACATCTCACATAATCTTTACAATTATCAAAATCTACTCACTTACTTCTAATTTTTCTTCTTACCACAATAATCCTATACCTGGTATATATACTTCTACTCGTTCCTATCTATCTTTACATTAATTTTAATATTATATCCATCTCAATTATATCTATCATATTATACTTCATATGAGAATTTTAATATATATATATCTTTAATTCATAATATTAATATTATACATATATCATTTATATCTATTCTATTGGATATATATTTTATCTTATCTATTATCCTTCTCTCTCTCTCTCTCTCACACACACACAACTACGGCACGTTATCGTCAAACAACGCACACGCAACAGCACAAAAACGCACTTACTCCACTCTCTCTCAACCCTTCTACTCCTACATCAACTATATCACTCCATCTCCCTCCCTCCCCCTTCATTTTTTCTTCTCTCCCTTCTCCCTCAATTCTCTTGACCCAGCCCACCTTTCTCATCCTTAGCATCTCCTCTCCTTTTGACCAGTTTCGCTGCTCCCTCCTCTCTACCTCTAATCTCTATAAATATTCTCTCTATCTCTCTTTGTCCCCGTCTCCTCTCTCCCTCTCTCTTCTCCTCCTCCCCTCTCTCTCTCTCTCTCTCTCTCTCTCTCTCTCTCTCTCTCCTCTCTCTCACTCTCCTCTCTCCCTTCACTCTCTCTCTCTCTCTCTTCTCTCTTCTCTCTTCTCTCGTTCTCTCTTCTTATTCTCTTCTCTCTCTCTCCTCTCTCTCTCTCTCTCTCTCTCTCTCTCTCTCTCTCTCTCTCTCTCTCTCTCTCTCTCTCTCTCTCTCTCTCTCTCTCTCTCTCTTCCCTTCCCTCCCTCCCTCTCCCTCCCTCCTCCTCCCTCCCCTCTCCCTCTCTCTCTCTCTCTCTCCTCTTCTCTCTCTCTTCTCTCTCTCTCTCTTCTCTCTCTCTCTCTCTCTCTCTCTCTCTCTCTCTCTCTCTCTTCTCTCTCTCTCTCTCTTTCTCTCTCTCTTCTCTCTCTCTCTCTCTCTCTCTCTCTCTCTCTCTCTCTCTCTCTCTCTCTCTCTCTCTCTCTCTCTCTCTCTCTTCTCTCTCTCTCTCTCTTCTCTCTCTCCCTCCCTCCTCCCTCCCTCCCTCCCTCCCTCCCTCCCTCCGTCCCGAGCCACACACATGGCCAAGCTATCTGCAACTCCCCTTCCCCCCCTCCCCCTTCCCTATCCCGTATCCCCTCTTGTCTTGTGTGTGTCACGATGTTTTCGAGAACCAAGTACTGCACTTTTTTTGGGTGGTGGGGGGGGGATAGGGCGTGGGGTAGGGTGGGGTGGGTGGGGCGGGTTCGTGTATCTTGTTTGTCTATTTTCTTTTCAGTTTTTTTTCCTTCTTACTCTATTTGTTTATTTATTCATTATTATTATTATCATTATTTTTATTATTATTGTTATTCTCCTCCTCCCACGCCTGATCTCCCCTCTCGTCTATCTTCACATCTTCCACACTTTTTATCCCTTTCTTTCTCTTTCTCTTTTTCTACCCCTCTCCTGCTGCCCCTCCGTTTCCCTCTATTCCACTTTCATTTCTGTCCATCCCTTCCATTCTTTCTCTCTCTCCCTTTCTCCTACTCTCACTCTCCCTTCTTCCTCCCTCCTACACTCTCTCCCTCCCTCCCTCCCTCCTTCTTCTCCCTCCCTCCCTTCTTCCTCTCCCTCCCTCCTCCTCTCCCCAAGACCTTTCCTTACATTATGTCCTCGTCCCTCATCCAGTCCGACGATGGCCGTCTCCCGATCGGCCCTGTTATTCTGTCCATTAATGGGTTTCGGATGCGTAATGGCGCGCCGCCCATCTCCCGGTTCTCGCGTTTCGATGGAGGGGGGGGGGGGGGTTCTGCGTTTCTGTTTTCTTCGTGATTATTATTCTTTGTTCTTTTTTTATCTTCGGTTCTTGTTGCGGGGTCTCTTTCTTTCGTTAGGTTTCGAGGTGGCTGCGGCGAGAGGTTGGTTTTGCCGCGTTCGGTGTAAGAGAATGGGGTTGTCGGCGTCTTTTGGGGATTTCTTTTTTCATGCCGTCGTCCTTCATTTTCTCGGTGCTTATCTTCATTGGATTTTCTCCCGCACGCATGCGCTACACATGCATATGCACGCGCACACACTTACACACTTACAACACTTACACACACACACACACACACACACACACACACACACACACACACACACACACACACACACACACACACACACACACACACACACACACACACACACACACACACACACACACACACACACACACACACACACACACCTCTACCCCTCTGTACATTCTCGTTAATGGAATGTCATTAAGGATGCACTACCCCCGCCGCGTCAGTGCGGCGATGACCCCTATCGACGTCGCCGCCTGTCCCTGGCCATCGCCTGTCCCTCTGCCATGGGTCATGAGGCGAGCTAAGCCATATAAGGCAGGCAAACTACACAGTTGTTGCAACCTCACCCTCGACTCGCCAGATGGACATCTCGTACGCCCACCGCCCATATATAGCGCCCCTTAAGGACCCAGACCGCCCCACCCTACCCTCTTACTCTCTCACATGCCTCAGCCCCCGACGCCCACGCATTCCGCCATTTAACCCCCCCCCTCCTCCTTGTTTTTTTTTCGCCGTCAGTCCTCTTTCCTGTCTTTCCTTCTCTCCTCTTTGCCCTCTTCTCCCTCTCCCTCCCTCCCATTTCTATCCCCATTCCTCTTTTTCCCTTCTCGTAACTATTTTTCCTTCCTTACTTTCTCTATCCCCATTCCCCCCTTTCCTATCCCCCCCCCACTTTCCCCTTCTCCCCTCATCCCTCCCAATTCCCCCTCAATGTCCACCCTCATTCCCCCACCTCTTCTCCCCCCATCCCTCCCCCATTTCCCTCTTCACCCTCCCCCCCACACCACCACCCATACCCCCCATTCGCGCCACACGCATGACAAACACTCTAGCTACGCAAATACCGCGGGAAGGTTGGTTGTTGAAGGAGGGGTTGGGGTGAGGGGGAAGGGGCAGGACGTGAGACGGAGGAGGGATAGATGAGGGGAAAAAAGAGAGAGAGAGAGAGAGAGAGAGAGAGAGAGAGAGAGAGAGAGAGAGAGAGAGAGAGAGAGAGAGAGAGAGAGAGAGAGAGAGAGAGAGAGAGAGAGAGAGAGAGAGAGAGAAATGAGTGAGAGTGAGAGAGGAAATGGAAATGAAAAAAAAAGATCAAAACGAAGAAAAGAGAAAACACGTATGGCTCTACAATGAAGGGAATGGCGAAAGAGTACAGGGGGCGGGAGGGCGGAAGGAAGGAGAGGGCGAAGGGGCGAGTGCCAAATGAGTGCCAATTAGAGAAGCGCTGCTTTGCGGACGTGACGTCGTTCGTAATCCGTGCCAGCGTGGACGGAGGCGAAAGGATGAGGATTGTGATGATTCGTGATTATTGTTGTGGCTGGGATTGTGATTGTAAAGAATGGTGACTGTTGTGGTTGTGATTGTAATGAATGGTGATTGTTGTGGCTGGGATTGTGATTGTAATGAATTGTGAATGAATTGGTGATTGTTGTGGTTGTGATTGTAATGAATGGTGATTGTTGTGGCTGGGATTGTGATTGTAATGAATGGTGATTGTTGTGGTTGTGATTGCAATGAATGGCGATTGTTGTGGCTGGGATTGCGATTGTAAGAATTAGTGAATGTCGTGGTTGTAATTGCTATTGTTGTGAATTTTCTTAAAAAATGGGGATGGTCGTAGCGAGGGCGACGGGGACAGCGGAAATGACGGTGATGAAATGGGGAGCGATTGTGAATTTGATTTTGATTTGGTGGTCACTTTACTGGTCGTATGGTAGGAGCATCAGGGAAGATGGGAGTAGAGTAACAGTTGTAACAACCTGAGCAGTGAAGATTTTGATGATGATAATGGTTTTAATGGTAATTCTGATAATGAAATACAAGTGAGTAATTTTAATGTAATTATGATGGAAGGCATGACGAAGTGACGTCGTGGGTAACAAGCGGTGATATTCACAACAAAGGATAAGAGAAGAAATGTAGAATGGAAGAAAAATCGAAAGAAAACGCGAAGTATTTTAGATTTAAAAGATAGATATGACCGGAGAAAAGGGTTTAAACAGGCACCGAGGCTCTTGGACCATGAGTCACGAGCGTTTGTCTGTCTGTCTTAGGCTGCCGCGCCTGGGCAGTACCCGTCCTAGCCGGTGGTACCTGTTGTTGTGGTCGCTGCCTAGTATCGGAGCCTGTTATTTGAGGCAGGTAAACCGTTGACACCTTTGGCCGTTGCTCCTGGTGGCTTGTATGAGGGATACGGGTATGGGTATGGGGTATGGGGTATGGGAGGGGGCTGTGGGTGTAGGGTCTATCTAAGGGGAGGGGAGGTGGCGGGGGTGGGGAGAGACCATTTGCATTTGCGAGGGGATGGGTGGGGGTTAAGGGGCGAGGAGAGGGTAGGGGTGGGGGGGGGGTGTATGTTCTCCGTTCCCGACCGTTGCGTGTTTTTATTGATGATGATTGTATGTTTTGGGTTTGTTTTTTTTGTCTTGCTTTGTCTTGTTTGTGTTGTTTTGTCATTATTTTGGGGGGTTCCTTCTACATTTCAATAATATATTTATCATGATTTTTCTCTACTTTTTCAACTTCGTCTTCCCTTCTTATTCTTATCCCCCCTTTCTTCTCTGTTTTCCTTACGCTTTGCCTTTCTTTGTTCCTTCGTTTGGTAGGCGGAGGTCTTCTGTTCTCCGCAGTCTGTCGACGGAGTGTGATATAACGGTGTTAAGATCTATTTCTTGACGAAGGTCTCAGTCGCTCTCTCTCTCTTTTTTAAGTTAATTGTTATTGTTATCAAGGGTTATTTTTTGCGCTGAAGGAAAACAGTTTGTTTATGTGGAGGAAGAAGGGGGAAGGGGGAGGAGAGGGGTAGAGATAATGGCAGGGAATAGGAATGAGAGGGGAAAGATACGGGCAAAAGAAGGGAGGCGATGGCCGAGACGAGAAGAATGGGGAGAGGAAGGAACGAGGGAGGGAGGGAGGGAGGGAGAGACGGTGGTAGAGTCGAACAAGGCTTTATTAGCGGGGAATTAACACTGATGTGGCATTATCGTGGGGAACAAGCAGGGAATTTCGTTGGGGTTTCCGAGTTTGTATCCTTGTTTGTGTGTTTGTTTTTCCATGTATAGTTTGGTTGGAATGAGTGGTATTATTTTCGGATTTTTTAAAAATCAGCTTGTGCCTCTCTTGAAATATATATTTTCTATGCGGTAGTTTCTGTGATTGCGCTCTCTGTTTAGACTGGGAGCGAGTGTTTTTGACGATGGAAATCAGCGTGTCTTGTAACGGTGAACGCGATGGTTAAATCTCCTTATTTCCGCAGTTTCCCCAGGGACTTTCAGATCCTTTTAAAGCGAGTGCCAAGCTCGAGAGAGACCGATAATAGATGACGCAGCCATCGGTGAGGTGCCCGAGGAGAGGTCGTGCGCTCAGACCCCGCGGCCGCGTAAGCCCCGAGCGAACGCAAGACGCGGCGCAGTCGTCCTAAGGAAGGCGTTTTTTGCGTGTGCGTGATCGACGGGAAGGGAGTCGAGTCGAGCGGCCTGACCTTTGACCTCGCATTACGGGACTTAAGGAGTGTGTAAAGAGGAAAGTCCGTGAGTGTTTGCGCGTCGTTAAGCGCAGGATGGATCCCCCGCCTTGAATCAGCGCGCCTGCAAGCACACGCCGATGATGTGAAAAGGCGGGTGAAGCGAAGAGAGGAGGAGGAGTGGAGGAGGTGGAGAAGATTAGGAAGGAAAGGGGTAGACGGAATGTGAGAAAGAGAAAAGGAAAAATAGATAAAAGAACTCTATCAATATGTAACACAGGAAAGAGGTGAATAGATGAAAATGAAAGAAATGAGATAGACCAGAACAGGATGTGAGACAACAGAAGGGCGGGAAAATTAATAAAACAGCGAAAATCAGACGAAAAAAAAGAAGAAAGATAAAGAGAGAGAGGGAGAGGGACACACTCTCCTCCCTCTTCCGCAGTGGCACCACCTCCAACATGGTCAACGTGCGGTGCCTCGCGTGCCAGGTCAAATACCGAATTTTGGCCGCCAAGAACACCAACCTGCTGGACTGCCATGTGCCCGTGCCAGTGTCCCCGGAGCCGCGCTTCCCGTACAGGGCGCCCAAGCTCAGGAAACCACGCTCCTACAATAGGGTGAGTGCCAGTCCGGGCGTCGCAGGGTGCCTCGGGGCGTCTTGGGATGCCCTGGGCTCTCTTGGAGTGTCTCAGGGGATCTTGAGGGTGTCCTACGGTGGTTGGGCTAATTTTAGACATGCCTGCGGTCATTGGGTTTAGAGAGGGGGGAGATAAGGTAAGAAGGGAAAAAGATGAATTGGGAATAGGGATGCAGGCTGGAATGGGCATTGCGAGTTTTTGGTTTCTGCTATTTTCCATTTGTCTGGAAGTTGTGAAAAAATGCGAGTGTATTAATTAATGGTCCGTTTCGATGAAGCCGATTGGCACGTCGAACGGTCTGGAACGTGCCCTTTTTCCTCCTCCGTTCTCCGTGTCGGATGATAAAGTAGGTGTCGGTTTGAGTCGCTTTCGGATGAGTGTAATTTCACCTTTTCTTCGTTCGGGGAGTGAATGGAAGGATGTTTCGGTCGTCAGCAGCTCTTAGTCGTCGTTATTTATGGGTCTCCGGTCCCGGTCTTCGGTCGTCGATTGGACGCCCTCAGCTGCACCTGTTGTACCTGTAATTTATATGTACGCCTTATCAGGTTAGACTTGTCCTTTCGGGCCGCGGTCGCTGGAGTCTTGTCCCCGTGAGAAGGTCTTGGGTTGTGATCCCCCCCTCTCCCCCACTCTTCCTCGAGCCCTTCCTACGCCCTCCTCCTCTTCTCTCCCTCCCTTAAGACACGCCCTAGCTTCTCGCCCTGCTGCAGGACTCGCGGCGTCGTGGTTTCCTCCCGTTCTCTGGTCCTTTTTTTCTTCTTGTTTCCCTCTCCTCTGCTATCCTCTCCCCTTCTTTCCTCTGCTTTATTTTCTCTTTTCCTCTCCACTGCTCTCTTATTCTCTGTCTTCTCGCTTTTCCCCTCTCCCTTTTTACTCCTCTCCTCTTTCCTCTCCTCCCCTCTCTCCCCTCTCCCATCTCTCTCCCTTCTCACTTTCTCCATAGATGTAAACGTGTACGTGCGCGTGTGTCTGTACGTGCGTTC